AAAAGTATAGTGAAACCTTGTACCAAGCATGGGAGAGGTTTAATGAATTGCAAAACTTGTGTCCACATCATGGTTATGAAACTTGGAGGTTGGTTAGTTATTTCTATGAGGGTTTAACTAGTAGGGAGCATCAATTCATAGAAATGATGTGTAATGGGGAATTTTTGCAGAAGGACCCAGAGGAAGCCATAGATTATTTAAATGAGTTAGCAAAGAAAGCTCACACTTGGATGAGACTTAGTGCCACTAATAATACTAGTAGGTGACAATCATTTGGAACTTACCACCTTAGGGAGGAAGATAACCTCAAAGCCCAGTCGGAAGCAGCAACTAGGGAACTTGAGATCTTAAAGATGAAAAATAACAGTCACCCACATAGTTGCTAAGGTAGGAACTCAAGCTCTATATTTTGTTTGTGGGGGATTGGATCATTTAGCATAAAATTGCCCAACCTATATGGTGAGATAAGAGGGGCGTATGAAGAACAATGCAATGCATTAGGAATGGTTAGGGAACCTTTTTCACCCTATTCAGAGACATACAATCCTAGTTGGAGGAACCACCCCAATTTTAGTTGGAAGACTAATTGAAACCATCCCACATCATCCAACAATAATTGGAATAGTGAAGCTCAACCAATTAGGTCTTATCCCACACCTCAATACAATGCACGACCAGATATGAATCCTTTAGAGGAAACACTTAAAGCATCGATGGAGACACAGACTAAAACTAACCAAGGGTTTGATTCTATTCTTACACAGGTGGTTGAAGAAAATAAGGATATTAAGAGTCAACTAACTAAGTTGACCAATGCTCTTACTATTCAAGAGAGAGGTAAGATCCCATCTCAACCTCTAGCTAATCCTAAAAATTTTCATTTGGTGCAGGAATCTCCCTCTAATTCGAAAAACATAAAAAGGGTCAACACTATCACTACTTGTACTGTTATGTTTATAAAGCCATTGCAAAGATCACCTCAATTGAAGGACATTAAACTGAGTAGCCATAAAGATGACCCATTGAAAGAACCTGAGAAGGAGGTCCCAATGCGAGTTCCTTTCCCTCAAGCTCTTAAAACTGGAAAGATTTCAAACAACCAAGGTGAGATTTTAAAACATTTGAAACAAGTTAAGATTAATCTACCTTTGCTGCATGTGATTAAATAGGTACCAACTTATGCCAAGATAATCAAGGATCTATGCACCATGAAAAGGAAACACCATATCAAGAAAACTGCATTTTTGACAGAACAAGTAAGTGCAATGATAGAGTAGAAAACACCACCAAAGTACAAAAATCCAGGGTGCCCAACAATTGCTTGCCAAATTGAGTCAAAAATTGATTAGCCCACATTTTTGACCCATAAAAATCGGCAACCTGAAAAATCTATGGGAATTCACAGATATTACTTCCATGGTATCATAAAATTGACGACCCAACATTTATCAAAGTATGGTAATGCTACACGTATAATGTTTTCCAGCGTTTTTTTTTTTTTTTTTTATGGAAAATAGAGATGCTATTAAAATATAAGTTGATATTACATCAAAATTTTTATATCATGGCATTAACTTAAAGATTGAAGCATAACTTACGAAATTAATTATAGATTTAAATTATATTCATGACAAGTCTAAAACAATAAGCAAAAAAAAAGTCATATGCAATTGAGGATTATATAATAATTGCTATATGGGCCTAAAAGGCTGCCAGTGTACAAAGAAATCGCTATAAGTATCTAAGCTACTGGATAACTTATAAATATAAGATTTTATCCTTGGATACATCAACCATCCTTCACAATCAACTTCTTTCTCTGGATTTTGTTGGCACCCCTCTACATTCTTCTTTATGTGGAGCAAGTGGTTCAATTATGTGAGGGTAGAGAGTGGAAAGGGAAAGCACAGGCTTAAACTCTTGATATTAAAGTGAGAAAACACCCTTGATATTAGGGTGAGAAATTATTTTATAATAGTGATAAAGTCACTTCAATTGTGAATGAATGCTACGCACTCTTTTAAATTATATCCAAAATACTTACTTTGAGCTGAGAAATACCCCACTGATTTGCTATGCTCCTAGTCTTTGACACACTATGTTCAAAGCTTCAATCACCCCACACTCTATAAATCAACCTCTTTAGCACTCCAATTTTCACATCAACCCAAAAATGAAGCTCCCTCTGCACTTCCTCCTCCTCTCCTCCTCCTCTCCACCCTCCTCTGTCCCTCCTCCTCCGAACTCTGCCACCCTGAGGACAAGAAAGTCCTCTTAGATATCAAAAAAGCCTTCAACAACCCTTACGTCCTGTCCTCATGGGACCCCAAGGCAGACTGCTGTCATTGGCTCTGCGTCGAGTGCGACCTCATCACCCACCGCATCATCAGCCTCATCATCATGGCCGACGATAAGATTTCCGGTCCCATCCCACCTCAAGTCGGCGACCTCCCTTTCCTCCAAACCCTCGTATTCCACAAACTCCCCAACATCACCGGTCCAACTCAGCCCACCATTGCCAGACTCAAAAGCCTTACATTCCTCCGGTTGAGCTGGACCAACATCTCCGGCTCTGTTCCAGACTTCATCGGCCAACTCAAGAACCTGACTTTCTTGGACCTTTCATTCAACAATCTCACTGGCTCAATCCCTAGCTCGCTTCCTTCACTACCAAATCTTGGAGCCCTTCATTTGGACAGGAACAAGCTCACTGGAACAATCCCGAAATCGTTCGGAAAATTTCAGGGGAATGTACCCTATGTGCTCCTGTCACATAACCAACTTTCAGGCAAAATTCCAGCCTCTTTAAGCAAAACCGACTTCAGCCTCATTGATTTATCCAGGAACAAGCTTGAAGGCGATCCTTGGATGCTGTTCGGAACAAACAAGACGACATCGCAAATCGATCTGTCAAGGAACATGTTCGAATTTGATCTATCCAAAGTGGAGATTCCGAAGAGCATGCAGTATTTAGACCTGAATCATAACAGGATTAGTGGTGGCATTCCGGCGGCATTGGCGGCGATGAATAACCTGCAGTTCTTGAATGTGAGTTACAATAGGTTGTGTGGGCAGATTCCTGTGGGAGGGAAGTTGCAGAGATTTGATTATTCTTCCTACTTCCA